TAACTTTACATCCTTATGCAATGTGATCTTCTGTATCAACAATTAATGCCTCCAGTTGAAACTATCAGTTGTGGTTTTTTTTTTTTTTTTTCCTTTTTAAACATTTTGATTAGCTTACATAATGAAACAACTTCTTGCTTGACAATGTTGAAATCTGCATAACTTTGTTCTTTGTTTCCCCAGTTAGATGCAGCTATAGAAAAACTTACAAATATTATAACCAGATGGAAGGGAATATCGTGGACAAGCAGAGGAGGCATGGTATAAACTATTGGATATGGAATCATTTCCCTTCTTTTTTCTTTTTTTTTTTTTTGTATTTGCATAAATACATCAGGGAAAGAAATTGGGGCAGATGTAGCCAACTTAGCTGATCAGTAGAACATGTAATAAATTTCTTAAAATGGATAGCAATGTGGTCCTAATACTGCAAATGTGCTAAAATTATTTTTCTCCTTGAGCAAAGCTTGGGCTCAATCATTTCGTTTTTGAACAGCAGGCTCCTCATAAACTTGCATTCCTAACTTACTCTTAGAAGAACAATAGGGGGATTAAACTAAATGTAGTTTGATAACACTAATAAACTTTCTCATCTATTTATCTATCAAAAAATAAATATTTCTCATCTATTTATTGATAAGTCTTTCACCTTTAATTAATTGTTTGTTTTTCCTATAAGATGTTGTTCTGTTTATCACTGCTTGAACTTATCCCTTCTATTGTATCCTTGTGATGCAGGTTGCTTTGTGCATAGAGGCTCTTCTGGGATTCTCCAAATCTTTGTTTAGTCCATACTTGCTTCCTCTGGTACCCTATTCTTTTTCCACATGTCAAACTATGAAAGTAGATGGGTTAATGATTATTAATAGATAACCTTTTCTTTGTTGATGTATATATATGCAATATTTTTGGGAAGTAGACCTACTGTGAGCGGTTCTCTTGGACATTATATTGATATTAAGGGTTGGGCATATCTATCTAATGCTTTTTAGTTTGTTGATTAGCTGGTGGAAAGTTAGAAAGGAATTTCTGGTTCTGAACTATCTATACATGATCATGATGATGTATTGATTTTTTTTTTTTTTTTTTGGGTAAATATTGATTAATTTAGTTGAGTCGGCATTGATGATCTATAAATTGGAGTTGAATCTGACTGAATGGTGGCTTCACCTGCCAGTTTCAATGAGCCAAGCTCTGTTGATGAATCTCATTGTTTTCTTTCAAATTGAGAAGTTTCAAAGTTGTATGATTAGAACTCTGTACTCACTTATTCAGGTAATGCCTGGTGAACCAATTGAAAGTATAATGATTCCATTTGAAGCAACTCGGCCATTACTTGGAACATTGCAATTGAATAATGTAGTAATGCGTTTCTTTAAAGATCCAGTGGTGCCTATTATTGATGAATGGGGCAGCTGTATTGGATTATTGCACCGTGAGGACTGCCATGAGGTATTTTCAGTTCTTATTGCTAGTTCCTTGTTATTCTAAACTGCATTAATCTGTAATCCCAGTTGACAAATTTCTCAGTTGAATATCATGTATCCTTTTTTTGCTAATCTAATGGCCTGGTTATAATTGCAAAAAAAAAAAAAACCTTTTAATATCATCCTTCTACGCATTACTAGAACCTTTTTTGAATATTGTGAGAAACTGAGAAATGAGAAGAATGTTGTTCAGGCCTAAATCCATTGCCAGAGAATCTAAATACATTTCTAGTTAGATGAAATTTATCCAAATTACTAAGCCAATTATTTACTTATACATTCATGCGTTATCTTGGACAGATGAATGCTCCACTTTCAAAAATGATGAGAAGTTCTCCTCCTTGCATTACAACAAGAACATCTATTGATCATGTGATTGATCTAGTTTTGGAAAAGAAGTACAAAATGATTATTGTGGTTAAACATGACAACTTCCATGGTACTAACTACAGCTTGAGGGCAGTTGGGGTTTTTACCGCTGAACAATTATGTAACCTAATTGCAGCTTCCTCAAAGGTGCCAAAACAGAAGCTGCCCATTTGTAGATCATTTTAATGCACTTTGTATTTTCCCTCTTTTTATTATATATTAAAATAGGATGGTATACTTTAAAAAAAATTATAATGATTACACACTCAGATTAACAAGCTTGAAACATTTTAAGATTGATAATGCTATGTTTACAATATTACATAAGATTGTAATCTTATAATTATGGCGTTACATTAAATGAGTATCATGTGTCTTTAAATGAATAGATATAACAATATCAAGGGTGGACTCATGAAAAAAGTCAAATATTTAATGATATATCATATTATAAACTTATATTATTAACTAATCATTTTCGTATTAAGATTGTACTTACCAAGCAAAAGTCCACCATATTTCAACTTTTAAAGCTATTATGCAGAGTAATTATTATATAATTTATGCATAGTAAGAACAGTAATAATATAATTACAATATCATGTAAAATTATGAATTTACAATTATAACATATCATTTAAAGAGTAAATTGATACAATATTATGTGTGAATTATTGAATGAAAAGAATAAATTAGATAATGATATATCAAGATTATAAATTTATAATATCATATGATATTATAATTATGAATAATGATACATGGGACGAAATAAGAAGACAAAATCATCAGCTGAATCTAAATTAACATGTTACTTCAGCAAACGGAAGATGGTAGGATTAAGGACCTGAGACCCAATTTTTAATATTTTGCTGAAATGACATGCCAACTCAAATTTGGCTGATGATTTCGTCTTCCTATTTCGTCCCGTGTATCATTATTCTATAATTATATTACTTTTGTATCAAAAAGATAGTTGCATCTTTTTTATTTTTTTGCCAAGACACATCTTCAATCACATATTATAATCTCTTCTTAAAACAAAATGAAATTCATATGGTTATCATATCCCACAGTATCATAACTTATCATTAGATTTTAAATTTTTTATTTAGAAATTCATTTATAATATTTTATATATTTACTTATTTTAAATATAATTTCCAATTATATGTGATATTATAAGTATAGTATTTATGAAAACAAAAGGGAAAAGAAAAAGAATTCTCAACTCTAGTTGAAATATCTCTCTGGGGCCTTCTTTTCGGCCGGCCAAATTTGGGCTTATGGTCCAAAGATAGCTCTACCATTTAAATATCTGTCAAAAAATAAAATGGTTTAATTTAACAAATCATCTATTAATTTTTATATCTTTTTAATTTTTATATCTTTTTAGTTTAATTTATTATCTTTGAATTTTTTCAATTCTATCTATTATTTTTCATATTTATTTTAATTTCATTTAATTCATTATCTTTAACGAAATGTGCTTATTTTATAAAAAAGTATTTAATTCTCTAACTATATTTCTTTTTATCTTTTGGTCCTTAAATTTATATGCATAGTAAAAATAACTTTTATTTTTATCTTACTAAATATGTTTTTTAGAAAACTATTTTACAAAATGAACTATATGCAGTTTATCTTGTAAAATTATTTAAATACCCTTAATTTTATTTTTATATTATTTTTTCAAAAATATTTTAAATAATCTTCAAAACATGTTAGATATAATCTACCATGTAAAACAGTTTACTCTTAAAGCTTCTTGTTCTAAACCTATTAAATTTCTATGTTTGAATTGACCTAGTTGCTCAAGTTTATTATAAATTTTAACTAATTTTTTTTTATAAAATATTTCTTGATTCATCTTAATATTTTATTAAGATTATAGTATTATTTTTTCAAAACTTAAAAGATTACTCTTTTCATTAAATCTAACAAAATTTTATGCACTAGATTATTTTGAAATATTTTCAAAGTATATAGATTATTTAAAAAGAAAATAATTTTTTTAAATTAAAATGAAATTAAACTCATAATTAATAGATTAAAAACTGAATTAAACTCTTAAAAAAACCCCTTCCCAGAAAAAGAACTGCATCTCCTATTATTAATACCACGTCGTTTTGCCTGAAAAGTAGGCTTGAATCTCAGTCTTTTACTCTCTGAGGACCAATCCAGTTACTGTTGGCATACGAACTGAAACCCTAACCAGGAGATAGGAAGACGTAGGAGAAGGCTTGAAAATGGCGTTTAGAGGGAAGGAGATGATGAAGAAGCTTATGAAGAAGGTGGGAGAGAATAACCTGGCTCCAGGAGTGAAGGAACAGCTTAAGAAATGCATACCGGACAGCAAGATCGTCATGAACCGCGCCAAACGTGGCCTCTACGCCGGCCGACACATCCAATTTGGCAACCGAATCAGTGAAGACGGTGGCAACAAGTTTGTTCTCCCCCCTCTCTCTCGCCATATTCCATACATTTCGTTTTCGTAATAGAAATTCCAAGATGATGACTGTTTTTCTTTTCTTTTCTTTTTTAGAATTGATTTAGTTGGATTAGTTTCTGTGGGAAATGGGTTATTTTGGTTTAATTTTTTTTATAATTTTTCCAATTCTGAAACTAAGATTTTTGGGTTTTGCTAGATTAGTGAGTACTTGGTTAGGGATAATTAAGAATTGAGTTTATGTTGATTTGGAGTCACGACTTGATTATTGCATAAAATCTCTCTTACCTTGTCACCAGATGACTTTAGCAATTGTTTGGTGAATTGTGATCAAGTTATGTGGCTGGTGAAGTTTGAGAATTGTCACTCACTTCTGAATATTAGTATTTTACAATCATTTTCTGAACTTTTAATTCAATGTTGCTAACTTTATGCTTTGCAACCCATTTTATGCTTGTGTTATTTGTCTTCTTTGTTACATGCAATTTTGATATTCATGGGATCTTGAACAGATCTTAGTGTCAATTACATCTAATTAAGTAGTCTTTGATAGTTCCTTGGTGAGGCTAGTCATGGTTTGGTAACTGAAGATGGCCATTTAGGTTCTATATCAAACTTTAAGTCAGCTTTAAGTTTGAAATGATTTGGAGAATGGTCCATCATGGATCTTATTGATGGTAGTTAAACTAGTAGTCAGGCATTTAAGCCTCTGAGAAGTAGGTTCACAATTGTAATAAGGATAATGTTGTCTGATATAACCTTTAGTTTTATAAGATATGAAAACTGCTAAAGTTCTAATTTTGAAGAAGAAATCTTAATGGAAATGTTCATGTCATAGATGCCAAGTTCTGGATGCAGCACCTTCTGTTACTACTGGTTTATGGCAAAAGCTTTTAGCTGTGTACATTTTCCTCAAACTAACAGATTAGGTAAAAGAAAAACAAGTAGGAGAAGTTCCAAAACATGCATGTATCAATTTATGAGCAGTAGTTGACATTTCATCTAGGATCTCATATAGTTGTATTTGTTTGAAACATAAACATTTTCTGAGGTTGGAAATTTTGTATGGGACAGACTATAGGGCTGTAAATGAGTTGAGCTATTGACTCCAACTTGAGTTGGGCTTGACTCGTTGCATGGCTGTCATTAAATTTGAGGTTATCTGCTAGAAATTGAAAAGAAGTAATTAACATGTGATGGTGATTGCAGAACAAGGAGGTGTTGGAAGCCAAATGTCCAGGAGAAGAGACTCTTCAGTTACATCTTAGATCGACATATTCGAGTTAAAGTCACCACACATGCCCTTCGCTGCATTGACAAGGCAGGTGGAATTGATGAGTATCTGTTGAAGACTCCCTACCATAAGATGGACACAGAAATGGGCCTCTTCTGGAAAACGAAGATTGAGAAGCTATATCAAGAACTTGGGAAGATGGAGGTGGTGTTCTTTTCACCTGAGGATGAAGCTAAGTTTGAACAAGGCTTTAAAGACCTGAAATTAGCAGATAGGGAGGCTTGTAGAGATGCCAGAAGAAAAATGAATGGATGGTCTGGTAAACTAGAGCAACTTGAGGAAGGTGCAGCAAACACACAACCGGTTGATGATGATGGTGCTCCAAGAAATGCGGATGATGACTCACATAATGATGTTCACCAGCAGTTAGTTGCCAACTCTTGAGCCTTGAGGTTATTACTCGTAGGGACGTCTGCATTTTTGTTAGTCATCAAGTTTTTCAGTTAGCCGTTGTTTGGCCTTTGCAACAATTCTTATCCCGGCATTCTTAGGGCTGAGATACACTGCACATGTTTACTTTTATAAGCTTTTATTTACATGATATAATTTGTTTTTATAATAAATTCACTGTCTCTTATTCGCCCCTTAAGCCAGTTCATTCATTACGATATTGTTAGAAAATCTCAGTGTTATAACTTATAAGGCAGAAGAAGCCTTTGCTATGTCTCTTAGGCAAGTAATTGGTAAAAGCTGCCTTAGAGCATGGATTTGTGCTTTATAAGAGAAAGTGTCTTGGAAGTTTAGACGCTAATTAGTGTTTATTAGGTAATTACGCGTTATAAATTTGTGTGAATCCGTTCCCTCTCGAAGAAAGGAGAATCCACTCTCATAACGGAAGAATCCCCACCGCATGGGTGGTGATGTTGCTAGGTTACTCCAGCCACCACAAGCCACACTCAGGCCATCTATCCCGCCCTCTCAGACAATTGGCCGTCGCTTATCCAAGTTTCCATCCAAACAAATTCCTATACACTAGTTTATTTGTAGCTCAAACACCATCCGTTTTGCTTTACCCATTCCCCACCATCACTGTCTTTTCCCCTCATTGGTCCTCAGCCCCTTCCACCAATGCCAAATCCCTACTATTTGCTGTCGATTACACTCCAAAATCACATGAATCTCACCCAAAAACACAAGAACCTTACTCAAACTCGTGTTTTTGCATGCAATGAATCCTGGGTTTCTTGCTACAACTCTGGGTACTAGCTTTGAAGATGCAGAGGAGCATATTACAGAGATCAAAGCATATTGAGGAAGATTTTGTTGGTTCAAGGAATTGGGACCATATATATAGCTCTGAACCCAAATCTAGCTAGTAAGGTATATGCAATTTTTTTTTCTGTGTCGAAATTGGAACATAGGAATTTGTTATACTCCCTAGAAGACATTAGTGCGGCTTGGGCTATTTTGAAGGACCCCATGTTATGCTCCCTGTAGGCAAGTATCTTCGTTTGTCTTTCAGAGATATGCAGTTTGGGGATGTTTTTGAGCAGATTGATGTGCTGATTTGCTACTTTGATGTGCTGAATCTTGATTGCTAAATTGTCCTATAAGGATTCTAGTCCAGATTATGCAGGTTGCCAAACAATCTAGGATAGCTGATGAAATTTCTGATGCTTTGTGGTACTGAGAGTGGTGTTTCTGGATTTACAGCTAGCTGTTTGCCCTGGAAAAATCACTCTAGTCCGGGCAATATGTCTCTTAAAAGCACTAGGCCAATTAAGGGCAGTGCTAGAAGAAAAAGAGGAAGGGATTTTTTTTGGGTCTTGATGGCTGTTTCTCAACATGAGGACACTCTTGGATGATGACCAAGGGAAGGGGTCTCCTTTGGTTGAAAAAGGAATACACAGGTTCATAAATCATTAGCCTTGAGCCCCCCCTTTTTTTTTCTGCTTCTTTTTGTTGGCATGTCAAAAAATTATAAAAATCAAAAAACAATCTGTGTTAGAAACTTTGAATATGTCACTGGTAGCTTTAGGTGGGTTGTTGAGATTGCCATCTTTGGCTGGAGGGTGAGGCATGTTTCTCCTAGTTTTGAGGCTGGTAAAGGTGTTTCTATGCTGTCCGATACCCTGCTTCCAGATTTTGGAGTAAGGAGGAAGGATGACATTCTCACAGTGACAGCCATGGAAAGCGGGTTTCCTCGTTTGCTCTATTTCAATTCATCTACGTCTGCAGGTTTAGATTAGATTGTCATCCAGGCTCACATGTAGCATTGAAGTGTTTAGTAGGGGTGGGAATTAGCACGGTGGTGCAGCAATCCAC